TTTAAGGTGACAAATTTAAATTAAAATTAATATTAATTATTTATATACTTAGGTATAAGCCAGTTAAACTGAAATCCATAATAGCTCCATTGCATAAAGAATACGAAGAAATATTTTGTCAAAGCTTTTCTCGTATTCAGAATATCAAATTTCTTGGTTATATTTCAGTAAGTATTAATTAATTTTTTTTAATTGAAGTATTAAATTTTATTATACAAAAATCACGAATCAGAATGTTGTTTTATTCTAACTTTATTGTAAAATAATATTTTTGTGACTCTATGTACTTTATTAAAAATAATTGATATTTTAATATATATAAAGTTTTATTTATTTTTATGGGAAAAAGACATATTGTTCAGTTATAAACTAATGACTTTTCAACACATGTTTAATTAAAGCAACCAAAAAATATTTATTCTAAAAACATTTTCAGCTTTCTTGAAGCTGTCCTCTGCTACTAAAATTAGACCTGTTACATATTCTAAAATGGAACACAGAGAATTATCACAGTATTTTATAAGTGTTGAGATGTTTGTGGTACTGAGTTTAACAGAATTTGCTAATAAGATTATGTAGTGATAATTTTTGTAAAAAAGATCTTTTAAGAAACATTGTAATCTTGTAGTTTTTTGCAATTTTGCTTATGGGTTTATTAATCATGTTTCTTTTGCTTTGTAGCTTTAAGATCACTGAAAAATATTTTAATAGATTTTTTTTCAATTCTGCATCTGATTTTCCAACATAATATAGTAACCAATTCAATAGATACTTATTAATATATTCAGATATTCATACTAGTAACACTGTAGCCTGCCCCAAAAACATTTTTTGCATGTCTCAAAGTGGCAGATATCAGATCAGAAGATTGTTATTAATCAAGCTGTTTGTAATGAAACAATTCATTTCATTTTGAACATCTACAATAAATATTTTTACCACAGAATTTTTACAGTGGCATTAACATAATTATTTGATTATATGAACTTATTATTATATTTTTGGAACTTTAAAAACTATTAAAATGATTTTATTATAGTAACATTTATTGTTTGAGCAGTTCCTAAATTATTGTTATAATTTAAAATAAATCAATGAAAATATGGACTAAACTATAATAATAAAGAATAACAATTCTATATATCTGTATTTCTGTAAATTCTGTATTAAATAAACTAATTTTTAGCTTATTTAAAATATAGAAAAATTAATAATATTTGATTACTTTATTAGTAAATTCCCTTATCAGACATTCATTATCTTGATAATGATGATTCTAATTTTTAAATTTGAATTTTTTTTTTAATTATATATTTGTAATATATATATATATATATTTTTTTTTATTGTAGAAATGCTATTCTTCTCAAAGGTGGCAAGATATGTTTAAATTAATGTTGCATACTCAAAAGAATGCTATTGAGAAATACATGTCAGGTAGGATATATATGTAATAAACATTTGTTGTTGCTTTGTATAACAAAAAGAAAATATTTTTTTTCACTTGATTTGGTTGAAAAACATTTTTATGTTGTGTTTTCATTATTTTTAAAATGAGAATTTTGTTTTTATTTTCTATTTTCTATGAGGATGCTAATGATAGACTTTTGGAAATTTGCAAAAAATTTATTTATTAACATAAGGCAGTCGTTCTGATCAAATTTCAGTCAAGGAGTGTGAAAATCACGATAAAAAATTTTAAATTGCAATAGTTAAAGTATAAGAGACAGTTAAAAATACAAAAAAAAATCAGCAACTATAAACATCATTTCATTGGTTTGGCATCACAAATTTGTAATGTGATATCTTCTCTTACGGTTAGTGTGTATAATATGCATATTTACACCTTTATCATTTATAAAGTTTGTATCATTCAAAATGATCAAAGACATCTTTAAAAGGTTCATTTTGACAAATCCATTTAATTCAGATAAAACTACATTAATAAACTTATTACTTTGCCAGGACTAGGCTTTTTGTTCCTAAACACAGTATCCTCTAAATCTAAGTTTCACTTCATATGCAAAATTGTGTAATTTGCTTATTTGACTTTTTAATCTCAGTGACTTTATATGAATATCAAATAAAAGTAAAGTAATCTTGCTTGCTTGCTTATGTATATGAATAAACAAGTGGGCCAAATTAATTATATAGTTGAAAATTACTACTATGTAATTAATTTGGTTTTAGTGAATATTTTATTTTGAATACGTATAAATTTTAAGCTGTAATTATCATTATCATTTTTTATTTTGTCAGATTTTTAAAATAAATTTTAGTTAAAATAAGTGTAAAATTTATGTAAAATTATTTTTAAAATGTCTATTTTCACTTATTTTTCTTAGTCACCTGATCTTATGCATATTCCATAGTATCTTACTATATGAAATTTCAAATGCTATATAACCCAAGTCAACTTCCAATTTTGGAATCTTTACTTTTGAAAGAAATTAGGACTTGAATATAACTTGATCTTTATATAATAAACTTTTTTATCATAAAGGCGTTAATTACCAATGACTGTTGTCAGATCGACAAGCGCTTTCGACGCTAATTATTTTCGTCTTCTTCAGGCCGTTAAAACGGTTAAATTCCTTTTTTTGATTACAAATAATCGACCGTTCCAATCGTATTAACGTTTTGGAATGGAAGCAACAGTAGAATAAAAATATAAACTTTTCAAACAAAAACACGCGCGGTTGTAATGCGCATGTGCTGTGCGCCTCTAATTTGCGGAGCTAGATATGTTGGTTTAGAGAATTATACAAACTGATCCACAAAGGGGGCAAATCAAGTGTGGGGGTGTTGCAGGGATTAAGTTTGTTGGTAAGGAGGGCCTCCCAAATATATATAACATTTCTGTTATTGCACTGTTTTATTATGGCCACTTCGTCCCACAATGGGGTATGTTGGTGTTGTAATACCATTTTAGCGAGCTCAGTTTCATTCTTGCCTTCCCTGATAGAATATTGATGTTCCGTAATACGACACGACAACATTCTTGTTGTCGCGCCAATATAATGAGTGCGACCACCCGACGTATTTTCTAATGGGATAGAATAAATCCCTGATCTTTCTAGAATGGAAGTAGGATCTCTGTCATTGGACAGTAGCCTCCTAAGATTTGGCTGTGGCAAGAATAGGGCATGCTGCCTAAAAATACGGCAAATACGAAGAGTGATATGACCATAAAATGGTATTGCGGGAAGGGCTATTGCTGATTCTTTTGGGAGCTGCAGTGTAGTAGGAGGAAAAAGCGATCTTTTTACTTTGCTTAAGATGTATATAAATTTACCACTACTGTAGCCCGCCTCATTTACCGCACAGCGAATGTTATTAAGTTCAGTATCAATAGCGGCTTGACTGGAAGATAAAAGAAAGGCCCTCCTAATTAAAGGTGCGATTGCCGCATTGATGTAACGTTGCGGCTGGTATGCTGTAGCGGGGATTAGGTGAGGTACCTCGTTGAACTTGTGGAATACGGAATACATTATGGTATCCTGGGATTTAACAATTTTTAGATCTAAGAATGCTATCTCATTTTCTTTTTCTTTTTCCCAGGTAAAATTAATTGCAGCATAAATGGTCGCGAGATGATCTTTGAAAGCTAGGAAGTCTTCATGGGTATTCTGCCAGGCTACTAGCACATCATCAACATACCTAAGATATAACAATGGATATGCTATTGTGCGGGGAAAATTAAAAATCCTAAACTCAATATTTCTCATGACTAACTCCACTAAGACTGCTGAAAGCGGTGAGCCCATCGGGACTCCCTGTCGCTGTAGATATACTTTGCCCTTGAATTGGAAGTAATTGTTTTCGGAAATAAAGAGTAGAGCTTCGCGTAGCTCTAAAACCTCCTGCGCTGTAAAGCCCTTTTTGATTAGTAGGGCATTAGCTAGCATAACTGCGTCAAACTGTGGTACTGAGGGATAAAGGGCTACCACATCTAACTTGTAGAAACTATATTCATTTTGTGGCATGTGGCCTAGGATAGACGATATATGGGCCTTCGCTGTAACGGAGGAGGAGGTAACCAAACAGGAAGGAGGTAGGAGCCCACTTAATAAGTTGGCTAGTGCCTTTTCAAGATGGAAGGCCGGGTGGGTCCTTTTATTAACCAACAGTCTCAATGGCCAACCCTCCTTATGTGTTTTTACTTCAAAAAAGAGTCTGGGGCAAGCTACGTTGGTCGGGGGATCAACCCGTCCGGGAAGAGCAGAAATAGTTGGAAGAGATATTATTTTTCTAACTTTTCTTAGGATGGTAGATGTTGGATCAGTTTGCAAGGGAACCGCACAAGAATGATTGAGGAAGTCAGTGGCCCTGTCCACAAAATCCTCCTCCTTACTTAATACAAATTTCTTTTGTTTGTCCGAGATTAGCAGGCATAAATTGTTCATTTCCAAGTACCGTCTTACACGTTGACTGTTGACATAACCTCTACTGGTAACTCTGGGTTGCTTTTGTGAGGCGAGTGCTGAAACCACAGAAAGCTCCATGTTTGGAAACTTGGTTGAGGCTTGACAATTCTTCAGCGCTGCCAGGACCGCTGGGATCGTATCCGATATGCTGGTACCACGCAGCGGAGGGATAAATTTAGGTCCTTTCTGTATAGACCTGAGAATATGGGCTGGAACCTGTTCTTCTGCATAATTGTAGAACGGGGTTGATTGCGGATGCTTGCGTCCTTTATTTGATGATCTTAGGAGCCAATTGAACTTCCTGCTCGACTTGAAGATCTCCTTTTCCTCAAAGGAGGAAGCAATACTATGCAATTTTCCCAATTGAACATATAAAGAGGCTGGATCACATGTCTGTGTAAATTTTAGGTGGGCAAGATACAGTTTGAGTTCCACCTCAGCCAGAGATTTACGTTTAATCTTGATAAGCTTTGAAAGAAGCAACCTTTCCATATTCTGTAAGGCACCTCGAAGACATATAGGGAAGGCTCTCCGGTTGATAGAAATACACTTTGGGACTATGTCCTGCCCCCTGCATCTAAGTAGAAACACCAGCTGGGTGTGGATCTTGTACCATTGCTTTTTATGTTTCAGCATATCAAAAAAGGATAGCCGTTGTCCAGAATTCATTATGAAAGTTATCAATTATACAAAAGTGGACTGCACGCCGACTATTTAATATAATAAACTTTTTTATCATAAAGGCGTTAATTACCAATGACTGTTGTCAGATCGACAAGCGCTTTCGACGCTAATTATTTTCGTCTTCTTCAGGCCGTTAAAACGGTTAAATTCCTTTTTTTGATTACAAATAATCGACCGTTCCAATCGTATTAACGTTTTGGAATGGAAGCAACAGTAGAATAAAAATATAAACTTTTCAAACAAAAACACGCGCGGTTGTAATGCGCATGTGCTGTGCGCCTCCAATTTGCGGAGCTAGATATGTTGGTTTAGAGAATTATACAAACTGATCCACAAAGGGGGCAAATCAAGTGTGGGGGTGTTGCAGGGATTAAGTTTGTTGGTAAGGAGGGCCTCCCAAATATATATAACATTTCTGTTATTGCACTGTTTTATTATGGCCACTTCGTCCCACAATGGGGTATGTTGGTGTTGTAATACCATTTTAGCGAGCTCAGTTTCATTCTTGCCTTCCCTGATAGAATATTGATGTTCCGTAATACGACACGACAACATTCTTGTTGTCGCGCCAATATATTGAGTGCGACCACCCGACATGTTTTCTAATGGGATAGAATAAATCCCCGATCTTTCTAGAATGGAAGTAGGATCTCTGTCATTGGACAGCAACCTCCTAAGATTTGGCTGTGGGGAAATTGGCAAAAATAGGGCATGCTGCCTAAAAATACGGCAAATACGAAGAGTGACATGACNTAATATCATAGGTAAATCTAATGAAGATAAAGAATGCTTAATTGAAAGATGGAAAAAATTAGGATATAAAATTCATCAATTACAATCTCAAATGAAACATATGGAAAATACTCTGGCATTTTCTTTTATTGAAGTATGTTAAATATATTTGATATGAATATTTTAATCATAATTTATGCTTATCAGAAAAATAATGCTGCTTTCAAAATAACTTAATCAAGTTTTGAATGTACAGTTTTATTTCATGACATTTGACATGAATTAAAACTGTATTTAATAATATTTATTTATTTATAAATAATTTTATATAAAAAGATCGTTATTTGATTATTTTATATTACTATAGTATTTAATTTGATTATTAATTATATTCATAGCAATTAATAATAAATATTTAGAAAAACCAAATATCATACAAAAGCTAAGTAGTTCATGAAGTTTATGTTTTATTTCAGCTTAAAAGATAGCAAAAATAAAACAGTGACCTTTTAAGATGTTTAGCATTCTGTAACTTTATGTTTTTCTAATTATTTGAAATAATAGAGTTGACTGCATTATAGATGATTTTTAATCTAATTAAATCTAGAAATAAGACTAGTGTATACTTTGTGAGAACAGGAAACAGAAGCAAACAGAAAAGATTAAATAGGTTTAATACATAACACTTTGCATATTACTAATGACATCTATTGGTTAGCAAGAAAAGTTGACAGAAGTTCTATGTTTCTCTCCATTGGTAGTCCACAGTTCTTAGTGTTTTCAACATGGCAACTGATAAAATTGAAATGATTAGAATTAGACTACAAATATAGAGAACTTATATATAAATGATATATAAGAACAGATATATAAGATATACAAATGATGAATTGTAATTCATCATTTGTATATTTTAAATTAATCATTCAATTAGATAGAAGCAATTAGATAATTTAAAACATCAATAATTTATTAGTTTTAACAACTAAGTTAATTTAAAACTAAGTTCAATAAATTTGTAATTATAATATGCATTATGCAAAAATTATAAAAATATATTATTTATAAAATTTTTTGTTCTCTAGGGAAGTCTTGTCAAAGCAATAAAAGAAGGAGAATGGATTCTTTTAGATGAAATTAATCTTGCTGAAGCTGAAACCTTGGAATGTTTTGGAGGTCTTTTAGAAAGTGCTTCCAGTTCAATTACTTTAACTGAAAGAGGGTAATTATTAACGTTAATTATACTTAATGAAAAATTGAGAGATTAGCAATTAACTAAAATTCAAACAATACATATTTATAAATAAATTTAAATACAACTCATTTAAGAAAACATATTTAAAATCAGATTTATAAATAATAAAATATCTTTATTGTACAACAGTAAATTTTGAGCAAAAAATAAATATTTTTAACCTGTGAAATGTGTTCTTCAGGTTACAAGAATTGATGATAGAACAAAAATACATAAATTAAAACATATCCCAAAACAATAAAAGAAAATTATAATTGGATGTTTCACAATTTAATAAAATTATGCGAAAAACTTAAGCATTTCTTCTAATGATTTATGATTGAAGATTTTACATAAAACTTTGTGAAATTTTTAAACAAAAATTTTAAATGTTATTGCACTTATAGAACTTCATATTAAAATATGAGATACATCTTTAATTATGTTAAATTCATTTTTTTTATTTATAATGTGTTTTTGTTTGAATATGTTTGATTGTTGTAATTTGAAGAAGGCATATACAGTAAGCGTAAATTGTTTCTTTTTCTCAAAATTTATTGCTAGAAGATAAATATATTCTGCTATTTGATTTGTTTTATTGTTTTAATTTTTGTTTATTAAATTTATAGTAAAAGACACTCAAATAGATTATATTGTCAATGAAAAATTATTTTGAAATGATTATAAATTAAATGAATAAGAATATTTAAAAACATCCTTTTCAGTTACATGAATAACATTTTATAATTAAAAATAAAGAATGAACAAGGTAAAGTTGAGACACTGAAAATTTTCCACAAATAAAAACTTAACAAGAAGTACAAAATTAAATTTATTTATTTTAAGGTGACACATTATTGTAATATCAAAATGGTTTACAATCTCCTTAAATGACTACCCTGCTGAATGGACTTTAAGACAAACACTAATCAAAAGCTTATGTACAAGCTTGTTGGTTATTTTATATGATGCCCAAATCCATTTACTTCAAAAACTTTTTTCATTTTGAACAACTTTTCCAGTTTTTTTTTTCAAAATTTCTTTAATGATTGACCAATACTGTTTGATTTGTTGCAGTACTGTGTTCTTTATTACTTGAGTAAATTGTTTTCTTGCTCTTTTCATTATGAACTGTGTTGTTCATCAATGTACCAAATTGGTCTTTTTGATTATCTATAAAGTTTACAGACAATTTTCTCTTTTTTTTTAAAAATAAATATAATTATAATATATATAGATACAGTAGAGCATCGATTATCCGAAAGCCAATCATCCGAAACGTCAATTATTCGAAAGAATTCCAGTTGGCAAATTTAAATTTTTGCCAGTGCTGTGGCGCTTCAATCTTTGGCTATGTCTTGGGCTACTCAAATATTTTACGTTTTTGATACTAAATTAACATCTGAAGTATAATTTTTTATTGTTTTTATATTTTTCAATATATTTATTTTGTTTGTACAAAATAAAAAAA